TAATATACAATAAAGAATGATATACATGTGTTATTGTTATATATTACTTTCATCCTTGATGCATCAACCGTTTGTGGTGATTACAGCAATATTATTTTGATTGCTGGTTCCTATGTATATCTTGTATAAACGAAATTATAACCATATATGATTTTATAAATACAATGAATATATAACACATACTACGCGAAAATGTTACGTCATGTACTTAAATTCATCTTGAAAAAAACGTCTAAAATACGTCTAAAACGCGTTTTTATAAAGACGTCTTCATTTAGACGTCTTTTAGACTTATGATCTAGACGTCTACAAGTGCGCCTTTTAGACCTCCTTAAAGACATCTTTAAAACGTCTTTTAAACGTCTTTGTGCTTACTGGGTTTATACAATCTTTATACAAGTATAAGTTAAATAAAAAGTTATCTTATATTTATTTAAGTTAACTACAAATAAAAATATCGTTAGAAAATAAAGATAGCATAATAAAGTAGAAGACCATTACAATATTGTATACAGCACTTGACTTTTATAACTTTTTAATAACATCCTAGGAAAACCATCGTGCGATAAATAGCCAAAATCAGAATCATTTATACTCCAGAGTGTACTTGGTGTCGTACAAACAAATGTTCCGGTCTGTACTTCTAGCAACGACCCTGGTAGAATGCACGACTTTTAAAAAGTATTCTTTTGATAAATATACATAGACTACAAGTACATACACACCTATACTAACAGCACATATACATCCATATATACAAGCAAACATACATAAATACATACATACATACACAGATACATACACACACACACACACATATATATATATATATATATATATATATATATATATATATATATATATATATATATATATATATATATATATATATATATATATATATATATATATATATATATATATATATATATAATCTTCAGTAATTATTTTAATGCTACCTATTTTTTATATTTTTTCTAATATAACAAATTTGGGCCAGCCCATTTAACTAATTTGAGGAAATATAAAGAGTTATACTTTTGTTCAAAAAATAACTTGATTTATTAATTTGTCGCAGGTTAAGCAAAAGTTATTAAAAATGGTATCAGTTAAATATGCAATATTATTATTAAACATAGTTTTGTTGCATACAAAGCACACAAAGCAGTAAATTTCTTGCAATTTAGCTTTACTTAAAATTATCATATTGTTTCATATTGTAAGTTAATACTATTATTAAATTGTTGCAGTAATCATTTGTATACATATATTGTTATTATATATCGTGGCATATGATATATTATATATTATCATATACCATGATAAATAATATATATGTATAATAATCTGTTAATATATAAGAAATTAAATATTAAACAATTGAGATTTAGTTAATTTAATAATCAAATCATAGCATAAATAACATTATTTTGCTTTATCTGTGGTAATCAAGCATATATTTATATATATAGCATAATAATTGTTATAATTGGCACTGGTTACCAATTAAAAAATAATTTACGATTTAACATTTATAAGTGCGACATGCATAAATGTAATGTTAATAACATAAAAGTTATCAAACTAAAAAAAATCTTATATCTTTTTTACACAGCATATAAAAAGTATTTACTTTTACAAAAACATAGCATAGTAATTCAATTTGTGAAATGATTCTTATGAAATGGTTCTACTGGTCAGCCATCAAGCTCAAACTAATTCTGAATAGAAAAAAATTATTGTTGGGCTTAAAAAAAGCAGGTAATATTAACATTTTAACATGCTATCTAATGCTATCTACCAAGTTGTAAAGTATTTGGTTTTAAGCATAGTTATCATTACTTGAAAGATATTTTGTTGTATACTTTAGTAACTTCTGAAGACCAAGAGAAAAACTATAGTTTTCAGAAAATTCATCTGATTTAATTATTACTGAAAACAAAACAAAAAAAAACACTTACAAATGCAACAGGTATGCTATAAAAAAACAACTTGATTATAAAAAGTTTTTTGTAGTAATTAATTTTGAATTCATTTACAAATGAATTGCTAAAGTAACTTTACTACTTATATTGAAGAATGAAATGAAAAGTTTGAAATTTAAATTTCTTTTTTATGTATACACCCTATACTTTTGGATAACATATATTTAAATTTTTTTAAGAACTTTGTAAGCATAAATTTATAAAATTTTATGTGTGTTCTGTCTACTAAGTACTTTAGAAACCATTGCAACTTTTAAATTTTTTTTTCTCTTAATATTAAAGTTATTTTTTTAAATAGGTTGGATGCTAATTTGATTTAGGAGGTTGTGCACTGGAGATTAGTGGCCGTAATAGTGCTGTAATGGCAATAAATACAAATACATATGAACCAAAGTAAACTAAAAAAATAATTAATAATTAGTTTTGTTAAAACTTTTTATAGTTAATAATATGAAATATATAATATATTATAATACTAGGCATTATTTTGTTTTTCTGCTACATTATTTTTTCGAATACTGTTCGCTGAACAGTGTACGGAATATAAAACTATCTGTCTAAACAGTCCATTTAAGTCGTCGAGCAAATTATTTATAAATGAAAAAATAATAATGTTGATACAAAAATAAGTTAGACTAACGAACTTATTTTTACTATAAATAAAACACTTAGTTTAGTTAGCTAAGTACTGTTACAAAAGTGTGTTTTTAATCTACTCAATATCAAGTAATATTTATAATACGTATTATAAGTTGATTCCTTGTATGAAGTTAATCATACCTATCATATAGGTAGTCTGGGTCAATAAGCCCATACTGGGTCCACCTTGAGCCCAGATTAACATGTTGGCTTGGATATTGAAGTATATATATAAATTAGTAGAAATCACTTATCAATTTCAATTATTTTTTTACACAATATTCAGTCAATAAAGAATATGTATATAAACATATAATGTATATAAATATATAATTTTCTATCTAAAGAATCCTTTTTTTTTTTTTTTTTCTTCTGTCATTGGAGCTTAAAAAACTTCTGTTATTGGAGCTTAAAAAATAGTTAATTAAAAACTCTGTTAAATTCTTTGAAGAAATTCTTAAAGCAGCTATTTTAGATGAAACTTTTAGTATTAAAATTGAAGGGTTTAAAACTCCAGGAAATTATGCAGCGGAGTTAGCGTTATGCATACTTGAAAATGCTTGAAAAAAAAAGATTGACTTTTGCAAAAGTAGTTTTAAAGTATTATATTCCAATTGTTAATTTGCGGGGAAACACATCTCAGCTAAGAGAGTAACAGTGTACAATGCTGCACCCTCTTTTCAAGAATAATGTATTGCGCTCTTCATGACATGAACTAGTTTTTGACTTTTCAAATTATAAAGCTGGGTTTTACCTTCTGTATATATTTCTATTAAAGATATGGTTTCAGAATGTATTGTTAGAATCAAATTATAAAGTGCTAGATTTAAAATTAACAACGGAGGAAGAAAAAACTGTTCGCTATGTAGCTAGATTTATTCCATTTTCATTGAGAAAAATGTATTCCAATCGTAAAGACACTGTTTTGACCAAAGCTGTAATAGACCTAATGAAGTCATGAGAATCCAATTCTGATAACAAATTATTAAATAAAAGGTTTTTAGAATATGCTAGAGGTTGGACAGATAGAATAAATAGAGATGGACTGTTTTCTGTAAGTGATAATTTTTTTATATTTATTCAAAGGGTTGAAAATGTTGTTAGGACGGTATTGAACTTTCACTTAATCATCAAATATAAAAGTGTAGATCTGTATTCTATCTGTCCAACCTCTAGCATATTCTAAAAACGTTTTAATGAAAAAATATTTAGCAAGTCTTCTTATCGATTTGAGTTGGACATCTCTTACCAAAATTGTTGAACGTCAATCTTTAAAGGATTTATTAAAAGAAATTATACTTCGAAAGTGGGTGAGCATACGTACGCGCTCATTTTTAAAAACCTGGGTCCGAATAATAAATAGAAAAGGTGGAGAAATAGGAAATAATGTATCAAAAAAAGGTAAACCGGCATTAAAAAAAACAATGCATAAAAAGAAGAATCTTTTAAATTAATTAGAAATTAGTATACTAACTATATATAGAATAAGATATAGAATAAACAACTTACATATGTTTGTTTAACCCTTTCCTGACGCATGACCCGAGTAACGGTTAATAAAATTTGTATCTAAATGACGAGTGACCCGCCTGGCGGTGCATAAACAATTTTAAATATTTTAAAACATCTATAGCGATTGGGAAAAACTTTAAAATTATCTTTGAATTGTGAATAATTTTTTTAGTTAATGCTTCAAACCGTTTCTTAATTGCATTTATAGATCGCCTAAAAATCAATTTTAAAAAATGACGAAGAACAGATTATCAGGCCCTTTCAGAGGGGGTGCCACATGGGCCATATGGCCTGGGCCTCCGATTTTGTTGAGGCCTCACATTATCAAAGCACATTTGTTAAACACGAAAATAAATATCAAAGTAATTATTTTAATCTAATTATTCTAAACAATTTAATTTTAGTTAAAATAATAAATTAATTTCTTTTTCAATATTAGACATTTCCAAACCTAAATTCGACATGATAAAGATTACGTCATGTAATGATGAAATTAACCCTCCGTCGGGCGCGCTAGATCAAATTGATACAATGACTTTTAACTCGTACCAGTTTTTAAGCTATGACTTAGTGTTCTGCTTTTTAGTAGCTTCATTTTTTCTTAAATTTTTTAGTTGTAATTCATCAAACAAGATTAAATCAATTCGTTTTGAACTGTTTCTTATCATTTTGTATAAAATTGATATATTGCGCTTTTGTACATTGCGTTTTGTACATTTCGTAACTTTGAGAATAGTAATATTTTTTTGTTCTGATAAATATTTTTTAATTTTAAAACATAGTTCGTTTTATAAATTTGTATAAGTTCGATTGATATATAAATTTATTATATTTTCAAATTTCAATATTATTTCCACCATTAAAATGAAGAGGTTTGATAGTGGTGCAAGTAAAAGGCGGCGGAGAAAAGAATTGGCCGAAGAAGCATGAATCAACTTAAAGAAAATATATTCATTATTAAAAAAATCACAAAACACAGTTCAAATTGAACAAGCAAACCAAACTCAAAATGTGAGTGACAATGGTAACATTGAAAATATAGTTGTTCCAATTGCAGAAGACCCAATTTTGGAACAAAAACCAGCAGAAAATTTAAATATTTTAAACCAGGCACGGGTTGAAACCAAAATCTCATTACAGGAAAATGCAGGTGAAAATAAAATTTGAGATATGGAAACAGAAATAACTGATCCAATTCATCAAGGTAATCTGTTCAATTTTGTTGACATTGGGATTATCAACAAGAACAATTCTTGTCAAGTGACTCTTTTCTTAAGATTACTTGTTTTAAAATTCCAAATAATATCGTTAAAGACTCTAATCATCATGCATATCCTTATTGTTTCTTAAATAAATCTCTTGCAAATGGAGAAACATGCAAAAGAGACTGGTTATGCTGGAGTGTTGAAAAACAATCTCTGTATTGTGCGCCATGTTTTCTTTTTAACAAAAATGCTGCAAATGTGTCATTTTTCTCTAGTTCTGCCGGATGGGGCATCAGTAGAGGTTGGAGAAGATTGAAAAATCGTATTCCGTCGCACGAAAGTTCAATTTACCATAAAGAAAACTATGTTGTATGGAAATCTGCTAGTAGAGCAGCATTATGTGAAACTTCAGTGGATAATTTACTTTTATCAAAACTCAAGACTGAAACTGAAAATTGGAAAAAATTATTTCAACGTATTCTAGATGTTATTTTTCTTTCTGAACGTGGATTAGCACTTTTTGGTTCTAACCAACGAATAGGTGATCGAGCGAATGGAAACTTTTTAGGTATTACTGAGCTTCTTAGCAAATATAACCCACTTTTAGCTGAGCATGTTAAACATGTTCGAGAATCACAACAGTGTAAGCAGCGAATGCAAGCTCATTATCTTTCAATGCGAATTCATAACGAATTTATTGATATTTGTGGTTCACACTTTCAAACAGCAATCCTCCACGAAATTGTGAAAGATTAATATTTTTCAATAATAGTTGATGCTACTCCAGATTGCTCGTACAAGGAGCAAACTACTCTGAATATTCGTTATGTTAAAGTTTTAGATAATTCAAACTTTTCAGTTGAAGAAAGATTTATTTAATTTGAAAATTTTTCAAAAAAAACTTGAAGAGAAATCGCTGCTCGAACACTAGAAATATTGAAAAATTTGAAGCTGGATTTCGAAGCCTGCATTGGTCAAGCTTACGACAACGGTGCTAATATGGCTGGAAAGTATAACGAGGTGCAAGCGGTTTTGATACAACAAAATCCAAATTGCATGTTTTCTAGCTGCGGAAATCACTCATTAAATTTAGTTGGTGTCGATTGCGCTGAATCATGCAAAGAAGCAGTAACGTATTTTGGAACAATTTAGCAAATGTACAATTTATTCAGTAGAAGTCCTCAAAGGTGGGAAATTTTAAAACAACATCTTCCTGTTTCGTTGCATGGAATGTCCAAAACAAGATGGTCAGCACGGATTGATGGTGTTAAATCAGTTGCACAACATTTGAACTCAGTTAGAAGTGCTTTAAATGAACTTGGGGTGCTACATTTAACAGCCCAGGCTAAAATGGAACTCAATGCTATTCAAAAGTATATTTCCAAATTTGATTGCATTTTGATGTCGTCTATCTGGATGAAGCTACTCACAATGATTCATCAGACAAATCTAATTATCGAAGCACGCCATGCCACTCTTGATATTGAAAAGGATAACATTGAAAATCTATGTAATGACATTCAAAGGTTGCGTGAACAATTTGATAAGATTTTAAATGAGTCAAAATTTGTTGCAAGAAATATTGGTGTTTCATGTGAGTTTTTAACTAATCGTCATTTTCCAAGTCAAGATGATGCTGAGTTGTATTATAAAATTAATGTATATTTTGTCATCATTGACTCAATTAAATCTGGCCTCACGCAACGATTTCAGTCTTTACAAGAAATTTGTAAACTTTTTGGATTTCTCTGTCAGTTTAAAAATTTGAATGACGAAGATCTTGTATTGGCTGCTCAACATTTTCAGCACAAATATGACAAAGAAATATCACAAGAACTTGAAAATGATTTTAAAAGAATCTATTGTGCTAATTTTAAACTAGACTGCACACCAAAAAAATTGCTGGAAGAAATACTTGGACTTGGTCTTTCAGGTGTCTTTCCAAACATTACAATTGCATTACGAATTTTTATCAGCTTGCCTGCATTGATAGCTTCGGGCGAACGCACATTGAATGTTTTAAGGCAGATAAAAAATTATCATCGTTCAACTTTGGGACAGGAACGGTTGAATGGACTTGCTATGTTGAATATAAATTGCGATACTGCACGAAAACTAGATTTAAATTGCGATACTGCACGAAAACTAGATAAAAGCAAGAAAAGCGTTTGTAAAAATTAATTAAAACTAATTCATTCTTTTTTACTTTTAGTGAATTACTTTAGATTTCATTTTCAAAATGTGACATATTTAACTATTCATTTAGAGTGACAAATAATTACATATATCGAAAAAAACCAAATAATAAAAACCAACTTTTATTTCTTTATGCATGAATCATTCATTTGTGAAATCTGAATTGTAACATTGACAATAATGTAACAGTGTAACATTCCACTCATACGTCGTACCTTCTTAATTCCCAGGCCTCCCCAAAAATGCGTTTTTAGTAGACAAGCGCGTCTCTAGGCTAGTTGGCTTGATAAAACGTACAAAAGGCGCCTTATTTGTGTGTGACGGTCTATCTAATTTATTGCATTTAGTCTTAAAGTTTATTTATCGGGTCCTGATCAATCTGAAGACTTAAATGGCTTTGCATTATCTTGCGTCGTGTTTTGCGCGAATTTTTTTTTGGGGCCTACAATTTTTAACTGGCCGGGGCCTCTCCAAATCTCTGAAAGGCCCTGCAGATTATATTATATTGATATAAATTAAATCATTTTTTTTTTTAATGATACTGGTGGATATTTTTTTTGTTTGATCAGCACTATAAAGGCTTCATTAATTAAATATCAAAAATGATATGTTTATCTATTTTTTTTTTAAATTTGTTTAAGTTTACATAAAGAAACTATATATTTTTTTAAATTTTAACACAATATCATTTGATCGCGTAACTAAGATCATTTTTTTAAAGTTTTTGGATATTTCAGAATATCCAAAAACTTTAAAAAGTCTTTTAAAGTTTTTGGATATTCTGAAAGTCAATTCTAAAACAAAAAAAACAAGATCTTGTTTTTAAAATTCTGACAAGTAGTTTTTATTATATATTCTTTTAATTGATCGTGATTCTCTTTTTTACTTTTATTTTTTTTGCTTTTTAAAGAAGTTTTTTGTTTACACTACGGTGAGCAACTCGTTAAAATATTAATTTTTATATTATTTTAATGAGTTTTTAAAAATATATAGATTAAATTTAGAATTTGATGGAACTTAACTAGATTTTCTGTATTAAAGTATTTAAAGTGAAATGAAAATGTTTATTTAACAATCATCTTGGAATGTTTATGTTGAAATGTTAAAATAGCCGACAGTAATTTTTTTTTTTGTTTTTATATTTGTTCAGATATATTTTTCATTGATTTAGTTTGTTTTCTATATTTTGTACTCATAAAACACCCGGGAGAGGAGGGAAAGATAAGAAGTTTATTAATTTTCGAAAAGTATTCCCGCCTATCCCAAGATTATTAACACCCCCTGTTTATAAATTTTAGGCCTTAAAAATCGGCGAACTTTAAAAAATGTTGTAAATCGATTTGTCGGAAATAAGCTGAATATTGAATTATTTTTCTTAAATTAAAAAAAAAAAAAAAAGTCTTGTCTGATTACTTATTACTTTCTGTTTTTAATTATTAGATTATTATTATGTAATTTCAATATATTAATCTTATTTTATATAATTTTTAAGGTTGTTGGTTTTTGTTAATAGACGTCTTCACAGTTCTTGCGCGCGCATATTTAATATTACGTCAGGTACTTTATGCGCGGAATCGCATGAAAACAAGTAAATACTCATATAAATTAAGATAGTAACCTTGAAAAAACAGTTGTTTACATGAGATTTTTTTAATTTTTCTTTTTGAAAAAGACATCGATTTAGTTTAATATAAGTTTATTTTACTCATTTTAAGTTTAAAATCTATACTGTCTATATGCTTTTGTTATATAATATTTGTAATCAAGGAAACAACAAATTTGTACGTTGAGTGTATCTAAAAACATTGATTAATAAAAATAAGCTTTCAGGACAGAAGATTATTAAATAGTAATTATATATATATATATATATATATATATATATATATATATATATATATATATATATATATATATATATATATATATATATATATATATATATATATATATATATATATATACATACACTCACACACATATATGTATATACACACACATATATATGTATATATATTATATTTATATATACATTTCACACTCGAAATGTGTGAAATGCAAAAGATAAAGAGTATTCTTTAAGAGCTTTTATTTCTTTCATAAATACCCTATAAAACAAACATATAAAAAGTATAAATATAAAAATAGTATAAATTTAGCTTTAAAATAGTTAAAATAAAGTTAAATCATTCAAAATCGATACTTTAATTATGAATTATAGTAAAGAAATCTCATGTAAACAACTGACATAATACATTTGTGTATTTACTTTCTTTCATGCGATTCTGCGCCCAAGGAACAATGACGTATTGTTAAATGTTCCCGCGCACTAAATTATCGGAACTGTGAGGAGGTCTATTCCAACTTTATTAAAAATTATTATTTGCAAACAAACAATTTCAGAAATTATTGATTATAAAACATTAACAACATAAAAAAAAAGGTCTCATTCGGCGAAACAATTTAACAAATAAAAGTCAGAAGTTAAATTCTCTCAACATTTTAAAATGGAGATAAAACCCTAATATTCTAACGTCACGTTATGTAAATATAGAAAATACTTTTAAAATTAAGCTGAATACGATGAATACTGAATATATTTAAAATCTAATATCAAGTCTAGATATCTCTATTTTTTTATTAATAAATTGACATTTAAACTCTAGTCACTGCCTGATGAAAATGTTTTAATATAACTTAAAAGAATATTTGCACTAAACTATTTTTTTCGTTTTTTACTAAAAGGTAAATCAGTGTTCTTCACATCAAGCTTTTGAAATTCATCTTTTCGACCCTTGGTATTTGAACCAAAAACATGAATTAAATTATCTCCTGCAACATTTTAGACAAGCGCATTGCACGGTCATTCAGACTTACTAAATAAATGGAAAGTTATTATACGCAAGCGCAGTAAAGTTTGCATATTTTAAAAGTTTTAAAAATGGCTACGGATAACGAACACTGATCTCTATTATAACTGGATAGCGCAACTCTGAACAAAATTTTGGATTTTTTGACGCCAAAATCGCCATATTGGAAAGCCCCAGATATTTAAATAAGTAAGCCTTTTAAAAAATAAGTAAGACTTTTAAAAAATTTATTTATGATTTTCATTAAAAAAAAAACTTTAAGTAAGCCTTTGGCTTAGTTTTTCGACTAATTGCTTTAAATACTATATCAGATTTCAGCTAAGTTGAATATACAATAATGTGCGGATTAAAAAAAGATCTTTGAGGTTCAGAGTGTTGTGAATATTTTAGGAAGTTAATATAATAATAATATTATTATCTACAATAAATCTTATATAGTTATTTTTATAGATATCAGTTCTTAATTAACATTCATATATATATATATATATATATATATATATATATATATATATATATATATACACACACACACACAAATAGATAGATACAAATGTAAATCAGTATGCACCTTTTGATTCTTAATTACCCTCTGCAAAATGCCTGAGGCTTGTAACATATTTGCAAAGTAAACAGCTTACACATTGTTGTATGAATCATTAGTTGGGCTATGTGAGTGTAACACAACCCAAAGGTTCCTTAGGCAGTAAATAGTATTTATATATATATATATATATATATATATATATATATATATATATATATATATATATATATATATATATATATATATATATATACATATATATATAAATATATATATATATATATATATATATATATATATAAATATATATATATATATATATATATATATATATATATATATATAATACAAAAAGATAGATACAAATGTATATCAGTATGCACCTTTTGATTCTTAATTACTCGGTGCAAAATGCCTGAGGCTTGTAACATATTTGCAAAGTAAACAGCTTATTCATTGTTGTATAAATTATTAGTTGGGCTATGTTAGTGTAACTCAACCCGAAGGTTCCTTAGACAGTAAATAGTAATTGTATATATATATATATATATATATATATACAATTATTTCATTCATTGTTGTATAAATCATTAGTTGGGCTATGTTAGTGTAACTCAACCCGAAGGTTCCTTAGACAGTAAATAGTAATTGTATATATATATATATATATATATATATATATATATATATATATATATATATATATATATATATATATATATATATATATATATATATATATATATATATATATATATATATATATATATATATATATATATATATATATATATATATACTTTAATAAAACAGAAATTACTAGATAATGGGTTACCCAAAAACTTGTTAATTTGCTTACATTTTGGTATAGTAATCAACAAATGTTTGTTCGATGGCAAAAAACAAAATCAAATAGTTTTGGGGTTGTCCCCACTTCTATTTAACTTTTACATACAGAATATGATTTTATTAATCTCAAAACTACTTATTGGATGTAAGGTGGCATTACGCTGATGATATGGTTTTAATTGCTCTATCTTGGTCTTCTCTTCAAAAACTAATTAGCTTTACAAATAAGGAATCTTCTTTAATTAACATATCCTTTAACACAAAGAAAACTGTATGTATGGTGTTTAACCCAACTCAAAAGTTATATCAAACTCCTTCCCAGAATTACTTATATCAGGCTGTAAAATTGTTTTTGTTGAATCTTTTAAATAACTTATAATTTAAAATGACCTTATAATTTATATAATTTAAAATGACCTAACTGATGCCATATAATTTAAAATGACCTAACTGATGATCTTGATATAACCAAGGAGATGAAGGGTCTTTACACACGTACAAATGTTTTAACTAGACACTTTCATTTTTTGTCATTACAACCAAATCGCATTCGTTGCTTATCAAAGTATTCCTCTAACGGATCTTGACAGAATGTTTTGGACAGAATGTATTCGGCTCCTTCTACAAGCAAAAACTTTCCGAAGGTTGTGAACGAATTCACTAAAAAAGAAAGCAGTTTTTTTATGAATTTATAGTGGTAATTAAGTTTTCCGAAAGCA